GTGATTATTTGGGCATATTTTGGCATGTTTTATTCACTGTTTTTGGCTGGTTTGATGAGTTCTCATTCGCTTCATATACATGCCATGTAAACCATGCTTGCTAGCCAATGTTGAATGCTATTTTAGTCCATCATGTTAGCATCTTTTGGCCATGCTTTAAACTGGAAATGTGCATGTTTTGGGACTGCCTTGGTTCTGTTTTTAGACTTCATGATCAAATAATGCTTTGTTTGTATACTTGTGGTTCAATGCATTGGACTAGTTTTAAGTTTCGGGGCTTATTCCATGCATCGGGTGCCATATTTCCATGTTTCGGGACTATTTAGCATCATGTTTCAGTGCTGAAATTTGCATGTTCGAATGCCATGCTTCATCCTTGCCATGCTTTGGTAGAGTGGTATTTTATGCCTTAAGTTCGGTCCTCGGTATGCGTGCATGTGTACACGCATTTCGGTTGTCTCGTTTTCATCTTATGGCCACTGATGTGAGTGTGGCTGAGGTCCACTCATGTTGGTGTAAGTCCATTATGCATTGTGTATGCCATTTCATAGCATTGCGTATGCTAGATTGTATGTTAGAGCATTGTGTATGTCATGTTGCGTCGTGCATTGTGTATGCCATTTCATAGCATTGCATATGCTAGGTTGTATGTTAGTCGCATTGTGTATACTATCTCATTTGCATTGTGTTTGGGATAGGAGTTAGCCCAAGCATGGGAAACGAGGGACGTTTCGTACTCCGAGTGACGGAACGTGTCTCAAATTCCCTAGTCGCCGACACTCCGGATTACCCATGATGGAGTTTAGGTCTTGTTGTGTTTTCATGTGCATTCATTTCACATCGAGTCGTGCAATTTGACTCCTCGGCCATCATGCATCGATATGCGTAATTGGTGGCACGAGGATCGAGGACTACACTCCTCGAAGGGTAATCATGCATACATATGTGAAAATACTTTGCCATGTCCCTTTGTTGCTCTCTGTTGCAGTAAATCATAAATCAGCGGCCTTCTGGAGCTTTGCACAATATTCCGAGAAAAATTGCAAATAGAGGCGAATCGGGGCATCGCAATGGATTTCCGCGCCAAGCAATTCAAGCATGCATCATTCCACCATTCAGAACAGAGCTGAGGCAGTCCATAGGCTTACATGCTAGTTCATCGCTTTCCTAGTTAATTTGTTAATTAATTAGGGTTTTGTAATATTTAATTATTCATTCCGGACTGTAATTATTTATTCGGACTGTATTATTTATTCGGACCCTCCGAGCGAGGGCACAACTGTAATAAGTGTGCGTGCGTGTGATGTATGTCTTCCAACCCCACGTCTTTCTCCTTTTTATTTACCTGCTTATGATGGTTAGATTAGGGCATGTTTCAATTAGCATACAGTATGATAGCATGTTTGCCTTCATTCATCTGTATTGCATGCACCGGGCTCGACACACCATACTAACTGCATTTGTATTTCAATACCAAATTGAATACGTGTTAGTTGTAGCATCATCATATGCCATGTTTAGAATAGCCGAGCCTATCTTAGTTGCATTTTGCATGTGTTGCATTAGGCATTTCTGTATAGTTAGGATCATGCATGGATTTCTAACAGAGCTTCTGTTTTGGCTTGGAGTACTCGGTAAGTACTTATGCTTTAGCATCCTTGCATGCGTGTGAGTGACTGCCATGATAGCATGCTTACCATGAGGCTATGTGCTTATGTGATATACCTGCCTGAATGCCTGTGGGTGAAGGTTGGGTTATTTGGATTAGAACAATTCATCGACTGCGAGTTTTAAGCCCACTTGATAGTGGCAAAATCATGTTTTCTAAGCCCACCCGAGGGTGGCAAATCCACGTCTTAGCCTACTTGCGGGTAGCACCATCAAACCATTTTCAAAACAAACATGAGATGTTTTGTTCCAATTCAGGCGACCCAGTCTATACTTGTATCTGTGCGCATCACATAGTAAATCTAGGCTAATAACCGGAATAAGAACGCATAATGTTTTCAAAACTAGATATCATGGTTAGTAGAGGCCGATCTTTGATCGGGCGAGTGGGGGTGCTCACGAAGTGACCTTCCCCAATCATACCCAAGTTCCCGAGCCGTGGCAACTTTGGTGATGATGAACACGTGGCCTTGGGCAACGAGTCAAGGTTTCCTAAATTCCCCCAAAATAAATATTTAGGTGGCGACTCTGTATCTGGCAAAGCAGTCCATGTTTGGCACTTCTTTCAAAAAATCTGTTTTCAAAAACGATTTGCCGGATTTTGACTCTTTGATGATTCATCGATCTTGCATTGCACTCTGCGAGATTAGATACAGGACCATGACAAATTGAGTCTGAACTATAGTGAGGCCCAAGGGCGCGTCTACACACGCCCTTGCTGGAAATCATACATGGGAAAGAGGACATGTTCCTCTCCGGCTTCTCCTTGGTGGAGGCCCGGTTGGTCCAAACTATCATGGCGTAAGATGACAGGAACTACATGAGCGCTCAATCCATCTATATGATTAACAAACAAAGGCATATTCCTGGATTAGGACTGGGCAGGAGTGGCAAGCAAGGAGGTACTATTGCCAGAGAGATGAGTCACAACCCCCATGCTTTTGGGCTGGGGTATAAACCTAATGTCAAAGATTGAAAAAGAAAGGGTGATGAGTTGAGAGGGAGACTTAAAGCAAAGAGGGCTGGTAAGCAGTATGAATTAGTCCATAAGCCAATTTTGGAAACCCTGAATTGACGCTTTGTCCACCAAGGGAAAGATTTCCCATTTTGTGGATTTCTAGAGCCTTGGTCTGACCAAGAAACGAAGACGAGGTACACGGGGTTTGAGGTTTTCTTCTGGCACAAGTTACCAGAACATAAGGATGAACAGATGAACCTAAGCATAAACACAAATCAAGGCAAAACTGTAAGCTTGGACATCGACGAAGAAGAGTTGTTAGGGAAAGCACTGGTTGACCTACTAGCAAGTTCTAATGCTGGAGCTAAGCCCGTCAACTTGGGGGATAGTGTTACTATCTCTATGATCGGGGATAAACCATCAGCAGATTTCCTCAGTCTTATCAGGGATGCAATTGAGGCTCCACATATAGTCTAGCAATTTGAGAAGGGCACCATCAGCAATTCTAAACCAGATAATGAGTCTGAATCAGATTCCACCAAGTTTGTGGAGTCAGGATCAGATTCAAGTTCTTTTGAGAGTCTGAGTCTGGTATCTCTGGGGTTGGTAACCCGGATACCAAGGTCTTGTCTAGGTCTTCTTTCAATTTTTCTTTCGAGTCAACTATAATTGAGGACCTAGACTTTGCTAATGGGAATGTAGTAGATTTCACTTACTATTTTGCATCTTTAGTTTGTTGCACTGGTCTTGATTTTCAAAATTTTGATTTAAACGAAGAGGAAGAAATTCTTCAGGCTTTGAAAAAATTGCTTGACCAAGAGAAGAAGAGGTGTGCCAAGCCTTACATAGATGAAATCGTTGCAATTAATGTGAGTACTGATGAGGATCCCTGCTTGGTCCAGATCGGGTCTACGTTGTCTTCGGAGGAACGCGAGCATTTAATCGCTTTATTAAAAGATTTCAAAGATGTTTTCGCGCGGTCCTACGAAGACATGCCTGAAATCGATCATGAGATTGTACAGCACCGGATCCCTCTTGACCCCAAGGTCTGACCAGTTAAACAGAAATTGCACAGAGTTTGTCTAAATTGGGCATTGAAAATTAAGGAAAAGGTCACCAATCAGATCGATGTGGGATTCTTGATTGTGTCTGAATATCCGACTTGGTTTGCCAATATTGTTCCAGTTCTGAAGAAAGACAATAGAATCAGGGTTTGTGTCAACTTCAGGGATCTGAATAAGGCTAGTCCGAAGGACGACTTTCCACTGCCGCATATCGACGAACTGGTAGACTTCACTGCCGGCCATGTATTGTTGTCCTTCATGGATGCATTTTTCAGGTATAACCAGATTCTGATGGCACCAGAGAACAGAGAGAAGACTGCGTTCACCACGCCGTAGGGTACCTACTGCTATCGAGTTATGTCATTTAGGTTGAAAAAAGCTAGGGCAACATATCAGAGGGTTGCAACCACCATCTTGCATAATATGATCCACAAAGAACTTAAGGTATATGTGAATGACATGATTGTAAAATCCAAAGAATGGAAGGGCCACTACACTGCACTGGAAAAATTCTTTTAATGGATCAAGGAATACAGACTGAGGTTGAACCCGCAGAAATATACCTTTGGGGTGACAGCAAGGAAAATGCTGGGATTTCTGATTACACAAAGGGGAATTGAAGTAGATCCTTTCAAAATCAAGGCCATCTTAGAAATGCCACCACCAAGGACTAAAAAGAGGTGTGCAGCTTTCTGGATAAAGTGCAATTCATAAGACGGTTTATCTCAAAATTAACCTTGACTTGTGAACCACTGTTTGGTCTTTTGAAAAAAGGAAAGATGTTCCAATGGGATGATCGATGCCAGTTTGCCTTTGAACAAGTCAAACAGTACTTGCAAAATCCACATGTGTTATCACCGCCAGAGTCGGGGATTGTATTTATCGGTAACAGAGTCGACTATGGGGTGTATGCTAGCTCAGGAGTTAGAAGCTAAGGTGGAGAAGGCCATCTATTACTTGAGCAAGAAAATGCTGGACTACGAGACCCGCTACACTCTCCCGGAGAAGGCTTGCTTAGCCTTGGTCTGGGCTACTAGGAAGTTGAGGCACTACTTGTTAGCTCACTCTGTAATTCTGGTTTTGAGATTAGATCCCATTAAATATCTCTTTGAGAAACCAGCGCTTATGGGTAAGCTAGCTCATTGGTTGCTTCTCCTCTCTAAGTTTGACCTCAGATACGTCATGCGTAAGTCAGTTAAAGGAAGAGCAGTAGAGGAATTTCTAGCCGACCACCAAGTGGAAGAAACGGGGCAATAGAGTACCTATTTCGATATGAAGACATTCTATAGATAGAAGAAGAGACTTGAACGATGTACTTTGACGAAGCCGCTAATGAATATGGTTGTGGGATAGGAGTATTACTCATAGCACCTGATGATTTCCACATACCCTTAGCTTTCAAACTTCGGTTCAAAGTGTTCAATAATAAAGCAGAGTACGAGGCGTGTATTATTGGATTAGAAGTTGCCTTGGAACTAGGGACAATACAGTTGGACGTTATCGGGGACTCAAACTTGGTTGTTTCTCAGGCTAACAGAGATTAGAAGCTCAAAAAAGAGAAAATAAAGGTTTGCCATCAAGCCCTGGACGTTCTGATTTCAAGGTTTGAAAAGCTGACATTTACGTATTTGCTAAGAGAGAACAACCGGTTCCTTGATGCATTGGCAACTCTATCTTCTATGGTAGACATCCCACTTAGGGTCAAGATGCATCTGATCATCATTGAACAGAAATATACGTCTGCCTATAAGACCATTGCCGCAATAGACAAGGTTCAAGACAAGAACCCCTGGTATTATGACATTTGGAATTTCCTGGAGAAGGATGCATATCCACCAGGGGCAAATGCCAAAGACAAACGAGGAATACGGCGTCTAGTCGTTCTGTTCATCATTTGCGGAAACAAGCTGTACAAAAGAGGCCATCTGGGAATGCATAAACTCTGTGTTGAAGCGAAAGAGTCAAAACGTCTCATGGAGGCCATCCACGGAGAGGAGTGTGGAGCACACATGAATGGTGTGATGCTAGCCCGGAAGATCCTCAGACAGAGCTATTGCTGGTCAGCTATGAAGGAGGATTGTATCGACTTTGTTCGGCGATGCCACAAATGTCAAATCTATGCCAACTGCATGAATATTCCGCCGTCAAAGCTCTACAAGATGACTTCACCATGGCCATTTTTAGTATGGGAGATTAACGTTATCGACGCGGTCACGCCAAAGGGCTCGAACAGACATGAGTTCATCTTAGTGTTGATTGACTACTTTAATAAGTGGGTAGAAACCCAGTCTTACTCTGTGCTGAAACCATCGCATGTGGCTAAGTTTATCAAAAATAACATCATCTGTAGGTATGGGGTGCCAAATGAGATCATCTCAGACAATGGTTCACATTTCAAGAACGAGGTAGTGGATTTTCTTGAGAAATATAACGTGGCTTTTCATAAGTCATCAACATACATACCACAAACCAACGGAGCCGTCGAGGCTGCGAACAAGAATGTCAAGAACATCCTGCAGAAGATGGTAGAGACCTACAAGGACTGGTTGGATAAACTGCCATTTGCACTTTGGGGTTATAGAACGTCAATTCGAACATCTATAGGGGCAACCCCCTATTTCCTCGTAAATGGGATGAAAGTTGTTCTGCCAATTAAAATTGAAGTACCATCGCTGCGAATTATGGTAGAGTGTCAGATAGTGGAAGCGGATTGGCAACAGAGTAGATTTGAAGAATTGGTGTTATTTATTGAGAGAAGGTTGAAGGCATTGTATCATGTCCAAGGATATCAACGCAGAATCGCCAGGGCCTTCAACAAGAAAGTTAAATCTAAAAACCTCAAGGAAGGAGATATGGTGCTAAAAGACAACCGAGCCCCCATCCAAGACCCTAGGGGCAAGTTCAGACCCAACTGGATCGGTCCTTACATTATCAAGTCTATCTGGTCGGGAGGAGCGATTATCCTCATGGATCTAGATGGCCTGGAGTTCTTACAGCCGATCAACATGAACAAGTTGAAGAAATATTATCCATGAGAGGCTCGCTAGGCTGAAATCCTGAAAGGGCAACCTAGGCAAAAGTTAGAGCATGAAAAATTAGAAATCAAGAAAAATAGAGCTCACAAGGTCGAAAACCTCAAAATGAAGGCTTTGGCAAAAGTTAGAGCGCAAAAGGAGAGTGTTAATACTCGAGTGAACCCAAACCGAACTACGTAAGGCCTGATTCCCATCTTTAGGATACGTAGGCAACTTCATCTCGAAGTTCGGCCATAATCATCTCCAACTCAACTGTCCTATCCATTTGATTGATCGGGTCATCTTTTCCATCATTTGTTAGTTTGGTTATGTTACTCACAGTTGGCAGAAGGATCAGTTGCAAGACAGAGTAGTAGTAGTGAAGGTAGTTATGGACAGTTATGATCTTTTGAATTTGCGGTTGTATATCTTGAGAATTGACTCCGTGCATGTAAAGTAGTAACCGCTTTTGAAAATTGTTTTGAAAAGTTTTAATGAATTGATTTTCTCAAAATTTTACCTTTTTTAGACCATTCTTTGACCAAAAAGGAAAATTTTCAGTACTCACAACTTTAATTCTATTGATTTCAACACAAATACATTCTCCAACTCTTGCATAAAACCAAAGTTGCTTTTACATCATAAAAACTTGAAAAAAGTCAAAGCAATAAAACTAGGGGCACAGATAAGTCAGGTGGTCCTGTGTTGTCCGCTAGAGCTCGTAGAAGTCTCTGCAGCCAAAGACGGCCCAACTTGTGCTTCATTCTCAAGTCAAGTCAAACACTCACTAGAAAGGGCGTAACAGAAGCTAAGGGCAAGGGCCAGAAGCTCTCTTGTCCTCCAATAATGAGATACCGGGTCAGGTGCAAAACATGAACCGGGAATGAAGCTGGGTACTCCACCCCCTCATCTGGAAGGGTCTGATCATGTCCAAACTAGCGTCTACACTTGAATGGAAAATAGAACAGTGTGTAAGGCAAATCAATTGTATGCCCGGTTGTCAGGAGATGCTATAGTTCATCTCGGTCAAATCAAGCCAGGGGCAAAGCCATGCGATGTCGGCCCCAGATCTGTTGCACATCCAATTGCACCACAACCCCTCTGAAGGGAAATCCACTCGCCATTGGCGAAAGAAGTAAGCTCTAGCCGAGTACTCGGGACAAGGGTCCACCACTTTTAGCTTACCCATTAACTACACTTGGGAAGGGATGAAAAATAAGAGAGATTAAAGAATAGAGAGATATACATTGAGAGAAAAATATGGAATGGGTATTGAGAAAAATAGAGAGTGAATGCCAAGTGATGTGAGAATCATAAATAAGAAAGGGTAGGAAAAAATATCTGGAGAAGTAGTGGACTCCCTACAAACCGAGTAGTCTTTCGTCGAGGAAGAGTATCCAAGCCCATCAAGGTCTCGGCCAGCGCCAAACCTATGCAACTCTTACCCTCTTTTAGAAATTGAGCCACCTTGATCAACCAAATGCTTGCTCCGTTGTAACTAGGGACAAGAAGGAAGTATGCAAGCATACACAAACAGAGGGCATGTTGTCGATAACCTCGCCAGAAAGGTCACCCTTGTCCCCAATGTCGAAAAACCAATGAATCAAACTGAGAATGTCTAACTCCTCATCATGGGCCAAGGATCGAGCCTTATGTAAGGTAAGCCCATACATTTTCCCAAGAGCCTTGCGTGGCCAAAATGGGGCTGGGGCATAATCTCCTCAACATGTTGAGACTCCATCAGTACTTGAAACTCCTCTAGCGTAAGGCACATCGCTTGCACTCCAAAGCGAAATACATGAGTAACCGGGTCCAAACATCGAACCGCGACATGGAGGAACGGAAAACAAAGTGAAGTATGGCTGAATGGAAAAAAGGGCGTTTATGCCAAAACCCCTAAAATTTACCTTTTCCATGCAATCCAAAGTGGCTATAGCTTCTCTATGAGGAATATCTCTATTTTCGAAGAAAACGGTAGCCAAAATAAGGTTCTGTCGAAGAAATAGCAAAGGAAGACTTTTTATAAAAGATAAGGTTGTGAGTGGATGCCAATTGTCAGCTAACTGTCCATCCACAAACACTTGGCCAGCCGACCACCTTTTCTGGCCGGCCGTCCCCTAAGTGGCTGGCCGACCAGTTTTGTTGGCCAAGCAACTGGGCAGTGTTGTTTTGTTCTGGTCTTTTGCTTTGAGGTCTTGTTTTGAATCCTTTTGGTTTTTAGCAAGTGTAAATAACTGTGTTTAGGTGGTTTTGACTTTGTTCGTAATTTATAAAGTTGTATTTTGTAGCTCAATATCCGATTACAAATGTCGTTCAAATACAAGCATTTTTCAGTTTCAACTAGGTATATTTCATACAAGTATGGTGCTATGTTCGAGTTGTAATAACAAAACTCCTTTTATCAAAATGCAGGGTTTTACCCCAATCATAGTTTTTTTTACAAAAAGGGTACAAGTGTTTCCAAAATAAAGAAAGGTCATATTTGAAGCTATACGGATACTAACTAAAAAAAAAACAAACAAACAAACAAACAAAGTACAAAATATGCATCGGTCATATCAATCAGCTCGAGAGGCCCTCTTCATCCTCTTTCTATGAGGGGACTCAAGGGCACTATCTCCATCAGCACCACTATCATCAAAAGCATTAGCCACAGGGCCAGAATCAACCTATCTACTCCCTATATCCTCAGCGCTACTAGACTCGGCGTCATCCTTACTCAAGGACAGCTTTGAAGATGAGGACTCCTCGCTCTTGCTTCGGGCTCCCCTATCTCTATCCCGGCCTCTATCCCCACCTCTACCATGAACAGCAGCAAGCCTACCTCTCCTCTCTACAGTCAGAAGAGGTGCCACTGGTGCCACCGGTGCTGCCAATGCCGTTAGTGTTACCGGTATAGGTGGAACCTGAAAACAAGCATTAGAGTATTAAACATAGTATGGGTATGTTGTAGAGTGTAGTATACAGTATGAGCTTGATGCAGGTATAGTATGAATATGATATAGAAGGGAGATTCAATATAGGTGCAGTATATCAGTATATTATGATGCAGTATCAGGATGCAGATTCAGTATGAGTATGGCATATCGGTGCAGTGTGGCGCAAAAAAATAAGGGTAAGTAGGTAAATAACTGAAAGAAAGGAACAATACCTGGATACCGTGGAGGGTAAGCAACGTCTCTCCCCTCTGCACCATCTGAGCCAGAGAGGCGACCAACTGGAGGAGGCCATCCGTGTACTCCATAGGTGCCTACAAGTGAGTTTGAGTAATCAGTATCCAAAAGGAGAATGTGAAGTACCAATTATAAAGCAAAGTCCATACATACGGCGCGTCAGAATCCCTGATGTACTCGTGCTCCTCCGCCGGTGGCTCTATCGGAATCTAATAAGCCGTCCCGCTGGGCCGCTAGCAAGGAATCGCGGTCAAAATCACTGGCCAACCAGCTGCATGCACAGCTGGAGTAGCTCCTCCAACACCTTCCGCCACAAGGGCATCTGTAACATCTCTCGTGTGAATCCCGGACAGGGACAGCATCAGATGAGTCCTGATGAAGGTCGCGTAATCCCTAGCCCATCTGAAGAAATCAATATCCATCCCTACCATATACTGAATGATAGCCTCACCCGGGAGACTCTTAGCTATCCTCATAGAGGCGGAGTAAGAACAATCGAGGCAAGAAGGCCCATGGTTTGGCGTACATTGGCGTACGAACTGCTCGCCCAAAAACCAGGTCTAACAAAATGGACCCTTTAGCAGGATCTGATACCGGGAGGTAGCCCAAGATCCAGCATACTGGTCCCATACTTCAGCCAGCATCATCGCCCAAGGTTTCCACTCGATCTGCAAATGAAGAATTCACAGTTTTTAGTTGTTGTCAGTTGTCAGAGTATGGATTAGTCATAGTATGGATCAAAGCAGTGGAAAGAAAGAAGAAATGAATATGGGCTTCGGATTACCTCTTAAGTCGTCACTATGTCAAAATGGCGGCAGTAATATGAAAAAGTTATGTCATCACGGTGCCTAGAGTAACATCTACGATCGTACCACCGGGAGTAGGGTACGACCGGTGCTATCTTGTCCACCGGCACTGAGGCAAGGGTCGGGAAGTATGTGTAAACTCAGAGTTGCGATGGAAAGATCAATTTAGGAGTCAACAGATATAAACAGTGTAAAGGTAGAAAGTGCAAAGCAGAAAACACAAGTATAAACAGTATAAAGGCAGAAAGTGCAAAATAAGAAACATAGTGATAAGAACTGAAATTGAAAAGAAGTGCAGTGCGTACCTCCTAGGCTCTTCAATAGCTGCCGACCTTGTTTCCCTTTCTGCTGGAACCGGAGCTCATGTATCTATACAAGTTGGCGAGACCAGCTCTGCCCTAATCATAGAATCTCATCCATGGTAACGTCAGGAAGGCGCTTAGCAGGTATAGTCCTAGGATATTCCACATGTTTGCAAACAAGGTGGTACCGAGGAGATAGATCAGAAAGCCCCTAGTGTACTGCTCCACCTCCTCTTGCATCTCCGGCTGACGCTCGTAGAACCAGTTGTATCGAACCATAGCTAGCCTGTCCAGAGGAGGACATGCTCCAAGCAGATAGGTCCAGGCCACCTCCCACCGGCCCATGTCCAGGTCAAAGGGGATCGGATCACCCCCTACTCTCAAATATGTGATCATGGAGAAATTGTAGGGAGTCATCGTCATCTCCCCGGTGGAGGAGACATGGAAGGAGTTGGTGGTGTCCTACCACCTCTCCACCAAAGCTCCAAGCAAGGCCTAACTGGCCAATAGTCGTGAAAGTCCAGAGTAAAATAGGCTAAAGCCCGTCTCATCAACAAGGTCGTGGACCCGAGCGGGGAGCCCATGATACCAGTCCCTCACTAGCACCGCCCCATATCCTCTCCAAGATGGGGCGTCACCCTGTGTTGACAAAGAAAGAAAGCATCAGTTATGTAACAGAGTGAAAGACAATGATGAAAGGCAATAATGAAATAACAAAACAAGCAAAGTGCATAAGAGAAAAGTTTATGCCTCAACGGCATCCTGATAAAGGTGGAATGTCCAGTCCCCCAACAGAACATCCTCGGGCACGCCGCCAACAAAGTCCTCAAATCGCAGCATGCCACCGAGAGCCATCGCGTTCGTCCAAGGGTGGTAGGTGGTGGGTCGAATGGCCTCAATCTCAATGGAAGAAGCTCGAGCTCAACTCCTAGAGGGTAGATCTCCTCCGTCTTGATATTAACGACGATGTCCTCTACTGCCCGTTAGTCGCATCGGCTATAGGCTACTCAACCTCAACAGTGGGTGGAAACCCCAGTACCACAAGTGGAGCACCGTCATATAGGATATCATTCGCCATAGAGAAGTGTGGAGAAAATGAGGAAAAAAGTCAAAAAAACCCGAAAAATGTGTGAAACTAAGAAAAACACGAGGGAAACAAGCACAAAGTGATGAAAAACC